AGGCGTCATGGGGTTCACTCGCCTAAGGTATTGTGTGTTATTACGTCTAAACTATTGTGTTTTGGCGTTCGAAATTTGAGGGGATTAGACGGCTCTCCATTGTTTGTCCGCCCCCTTCTATTCATAGGATAGGGATTAAAACGTTTCTGACGTTTTTAAAACGTCGTACAACGGAAACTTAATTTTTATTACTACTGTAAATACGGCAAACTGTTTATATGACTCCTTTTAACAAATTCGCCTCTCAGGCTCATGTATATATAATACAAATAACTTCCTTTACGTTTTGAAGCTTGTTATTGAGACGCATGGTTGGCTTTGTATAGAGGACTGAGTTTCTACAGTGTAATTCACTATGTACATATTAGGAGAAGCGCAACCCCACACAATGGGGGAAGGGTCACAGTAGTCCTAGCACTGTCACCGCATTATATGGAAAGGAACAAGGCTTCGAATGACAGCATGATCATATTGATGTACAGCGATCTATACCTGAATATTCTGCGTCACTTTAGGTTGTTTTGATCAAATCAGGAAATGTCTTTTCTATTCTATTTCTGTAAAAATGTATTTTAGTAGTTATTGTGAACTGTTCACTGCAGTGGCATGCTTTGTTATTGTGGGGTTGGGGGCAGGGGGGGGGCATGTGGAATAATTCCTGTCTCCTTTACTTCCCTCCCCAGTTTTTATGTATATATATATTTTTTCCGAGCGAAAAGAGACGCCCCCTTCTCTACTCACTTCACCCACTTCTATAGCACCCCTTACCACGTTTAAGCCCCCACCCCCGGGGGGGTCACCCGACTTACTCTAGAAAATCCGCCATAGACATCATCATGTGGGCAGGATGGTACTGATCGGTGATGTTCCTCCACATTGAAAGAAAATATCGATGCCCAAATTTCTCCCTCAGGTATCCCTCATCTGACCACTTCTGGACCGCCGGCCAGTGCCTCAAGGCCCCCTTGACCACTAGGGGGACCGACTGGCGCACGTAGCCTCGGTAAAATTCCTCAGGGTCGGGGAAATAATCCAGCGAAGGAATTTCGATAGTTTTCTCCACCTGGTTCCCGAAAGGTTCCATATGGCCCTTCCACTTGCTCGCATCGTGCGGATCTTTTCCCCAAGGCAAAGTCGAAAACATCGAGGGAAGGTAATTCCCGAAGTCTTGAGGGCCCCAGAAGGTCCATGCCAGAGCCAAAATCACTGGAACGACCCCTGCATAAAATTTGGTTGCAGTCTCCATCTTCGTCATCCAGTTAAGAGTCTCAGGGAAAAGGCAATAGAGCGTGCATTTAAAGATATCCGGTTAGTAACGTGTCAGGGCACTCTTCACTGCGAAAGACGGGATGGGTCGTTGATTTTGAATGAATGAAAATGATTTTGAAAACAGGGGAAGGTTTATGTATATCGGTGCAATCGTGTATCAATGTACCTGATACTATTGGGTTTTAAGGGGTATATGCAAGATGGTTTTGGGGACTTTAATCAGCATATCTTAATTCATTATCAATAATCACCATTATCATTATAAATGCCTTTTTATTTATATAACATTTTATTTATTTATTTATTCATTTAATTATTTATTTATTTATGTTTTGGCATGTGAAAACAAGATTCAAGGCCAGCAGTTATATAATAGTACGAACTTTGAAAACGTGTCATAGTCCACGTTTTAGAGAGAAAGACAGTTTGCCCAGCTTATACAACCTTTCTCACAGACCGACAGATGGCGCAGGGGACAGTTCCTCGCTTTGCCACGGAGCGGCGCCACGGAGCAACGACGGTTACACATTTACATTTAACAAATGGGGGGGGGGGGGAGCAAGAGAAAAGGTTCGCTATAGAAAAAAAACTGATCTTGGTTCACAAAGGATTCATGGTAAAAGAAACGGGCAAGTAATGGAATGAATGAGTTATTTTATTATTGTTTATATTAAAACATAACATTTTGGAAAACCATAGCAAGTGTTTTTGTAGGCAAAATGAGTCAAAAATTCCATTTCTGGTAAAAATTTTGAGCTACAAGTAATTTTTCGGTCGGTAAATCCACCATTTTTGGAATGTATGTACCGGTGCCAGTAATTATATACAGTACGTGGGTATAATGGTATATGTACCTGTGTTGAATAGGGTTAAATGAGTTGTGAAATATATTTCTTCTTTGTAAGCAATGACATTGTTACATTTCAAATAAATTTTGGCTACTTTGGCGCTGCCAAGCCAGAACCTCAGGCAGTCAAAACAAGAAGTGATAAGATCTCTCAAGTTTGTTTGATGTGAATAAGATGGAATAATCAGTATTATCTGTAACAGTACCTTCACCTTCAGTCAAGTTGTCTTTTTTCTCTCTCTCTTTTTGTTTTTTTTTTTTTTTTCTCTCTCTTTTTATAGCGCAATTAACTAAGAATGGGACTTGACAGAGGTAACCTTGTCATGAATTATTTATTCGGTCTACATGCATTATTTATATTTCTTTATGAGTACCCTCATAATGTTACGTATTGCAGAGGAGTGCAGTTTCTTCCCCTGGTGATAGGCAGCAAATTAAGGAGGAACATTTCGACAAAAATTCAGTAAACACGTGTGTTTAAGTGATCGCAGACACAGTAGCTGGGTCACTACCAGCAAGTGAGTAGAGTATGCAGACAAAAAATTGAACTATTTTCACTGCAGTTTCCAATTACATTTTTAAAATAGATACTGTAGGTAGACGTAAAATTTATTTCAGATCTGAACTAGAATAAGACAGTATTGGGCCAAATATAAAAAAATGAAATACTGCGGCATTTTGTAACAGCAAAAACATGAGCAATGCTTCATGTACCGAGGATGTAAAGTTATAATTCAAGGGTCCCCTAAACTACCGGTGTGTAGTTCAAATCAAGGAGTTTTTTTAAAACTCCTTGTTCAAACCAAGTGGATTTGCATATTCTTCTGTAGTAATTTATCTCAAACTTTTTTTCGGTATCAACATTCTCATTTATAATTTTCTTCTCTTTTTCTACAGCTAGATAGAACATGGCGTATAGAATTACACTCGCCGCCATTTTAATGGTGTTACAAGTTTATGGCACCATGGGAGGCAGAGTATACGGTCTGGGAAAAAATAGGATTTTCCCACCTATAGGACCTGTTAAACCTCCCCACATCGTGTTTCTCTTGGCAGACGACTTGGGCTGGAACGACATTGGTTATCATAACGACGAGGTGAAGACGCCGACTCTCGATCGTCTGGCGGCGGAGGGGGTGAAGCTGGAGAATTATTACGCCCAGAGTTTTTGTTCTCCAAGTAGAGGCCAGTTACTGACGGGGAGATATGCGGTAAATGTTGTGTGTGTGTGTGTGTGTGTGTGTGTGTGTGTATGGGTGTGTATGTGCGTATGTGCGTGTATGTAGGGGGGTTATGGTACTATTTTCTTGAAATTGAGGGTTTAATACAGAACTGCTTTATCACTCTAGAACGCTCTCTATTGCCTGCACGAGGACGTTTGCCTGGATTATGACCAGGGAATAATCAAGTATGAATGATCACTCAGTTGGCTTTCCCGATCCTGTTCTGCCCCCGCCCCACCCCCACCCCCCTTGTCCAGATGAAAATACCAAGAATCGCGTTAATACCCTACCTCATTGTATTTACAGGCAACCACTGGACTATCTAATGTCATCCTTGGTGGTATACCGGAGGCCATGCCACTGAGCGAGACTCTGATATCACAGAAACTGAAGGAAAGGGGCTACAGCAGCCACATTGTGGGAAAATGGCACGTGGGCTGTTACGAGAGGGCTTATCTGCCAACAAACAGAGGCTTTGATTCATTTTACGGTACGTATATATGTGTACAAGTTCGCCATAATCCATATTAAATACAGAAAGAACTGTGTGTGTGGGTGTGGGGGGGGGGCACAATGAGTCCTTTCCCCCGCTTTTGCTACGGAGATACTAAAGTTACATTTCCTTTTGTTCTCCCTCTATACAACCCCTTAAAAATGAAGCTAAAAAAAAAAAAAAAAAAAAAAAGGAGAGCAAAGGAGAGCGAAGCAGAGTACTCCAGAGCGACTGTTCCATACCTGTTAACTTCGCACGTATATTCATTAATATTCCTTGTTAGCTATTTCATACAGGTATTTGACCCCCTAAAAGATACATTTTTTGCCCCCAATTGAACATGTTACCACAGCAAACTCCTAGGCCCAACGGTGAATGTACATAACGTGTAGTTAACTGAGAAGTGTATGACATGTGGCAGAATAAGACAAGAGTGGTTGAACACCACGTACTTCCCCACCAGTGTGTACATGTACTGACTAATGATGAAAAGGGGAACGGTAGTGACAAGCTGTCTGTTTACCATATTATTAAGTCAGAAAATGTAAATGAGATGATTTGATATAGGCAAATGTGCAATACAGCACAAATTAAGCAAGTGATTAGCGACAGTGTATTTGCAGTGACACAGAGGAATTATATAGATATACTACCTGTGTACATAAAGTATATCAGAATTTAAACTTATGGCAAAAAAAAATAAATAAATAAATAAATAAAAACAGACCACGGGCATCCATTCGTTATTCATGTATTTATCTATATAATAATAATAATAATTATTATTATTATTATTATTATTATTATTATTATTATTATTTATGTTTAGGAATCCAGTATGGAAGAGGGGATTTCTACACCCACGAATTCTGTGGTGTCGTGTCGGGAGTGTGTGGCCTTGACATCTGGAACAACACACGTCCTGATCCTACCAAGAATGGCACCTACTCTACCGACATCTATGTGGAGCGAGCCACGGATATCATCAACAAACACGACCCCACCGATGTAAGCTGATGATATAATTCATTATTGTCTTAGTTTGGTTTTCTTAAGGACATTGCATGTGTATCTGTGTATATCTCAAATGTAAACAGATCTACATGTGTAATTACGCGTATATGGTACCAAGACACACACATATATATATATATATATATATATATATATATATATATATATATATATATATATATATATATATATATATATATATTTAAAGTTGATGAATCTTTCATGCTTTAAGAATATTCAATAACGAAAGGTACTGTTTCGTATTAGCTTTTTCAATTGATGCTATTGTCATATCTCTGACATTCATGTGTGCGTGATTTCGCCATTTTGTGTTAAAAACATTTTATTGATAAAAGTTAAATGTTAATGAAACTAGCTACTGGTATAGTTGCCATTTAATCTGTCAAAATTTCAAAATGGCCGTCAACCACTGTATCATTGTTTCGGCGAGTTCACGTGAGTAACTGCACACGTGATTTGATTGTTCACGTGACTTTATTGGTATTTCAGCCATTGTTTTTGTACATGGCCTTCCAACTTCCCCACGAACCACTGCAGGTGCCCGCTAAATTTGAGGCTCTCTATGATGACATGCCCAATGGCAAGAGGAAAACATTTTTAGGTTTGTGTTTGACTAAATGTTTGTACTGGTCAAGAAATCGCTTGTTTTTATGTCGATTAATTCATCTCACTTCTTTGTGGACTTCTTCAAATGACATGTACACGTTCCTATTATTTATATGAAATATCTTTTATGTTTCACATAATGCTGGACAGTACACCAAAATGTTACAGTAATATGTTCTAGTTAAAGTTGATTTATTCATTGTGTCCCAAATCACACGTGTTTTTGTGAACTTTGAATTCGGTGAATTCCATATTACATTGCTTTTGCAAATAAATTTTGATCAGAATAATTTTGTTTTCTGGTTTATTAAATAAAATGATCTCTCCGCACAAACAACAATGGCCATATGAAGCATTTCTTTATTATTTCAACAGCAATGGTGTCTGCTTTGGATGCTGCAGTGGCAAATATCCACCAGGCACTAGAAGACAATGGCATGTTGGACAACACAGTGATCGTTTTCTCTTCTGGTGCGTATTTCTTTGAAAATTCACCTGTAGATCACACCTATACCTGCTCCAAAAATGCACGTTATCCCTTCAGAGTGAAATTAGTGACGTTTCCACAGCTTTGCGTACAAATAATATTAAGATTGAATAAAGCTCAACAATTGTAACGTTAGTGTTTAATTTGACGCATTTAGATCACGTTCATAATTGGGTAAACTCTAAACGGAATTTTTTAAACTGACAGACACGTTCGAAGAAAAATACATATCTTTGTTTCATCTATTAAGCATACCATGAATGTTTAATTTCAGATAATGGCGGATCCCCTCTTGTTGGTGGGAATAACGGACCACTGAAAGGGATCAAGGGTTCTTTGTGGGAAGGTGGGATTAAAGTGCCGGCATTCGTTTGGTCCAAACTGCTGAGGAGACCTCGCCGCAAGGTGACTCAGCTGGCCTCCATAACGGATTGGTATCCGACATTTCTTGGCTTAGCCGGCCTTGATGCCTCTGAGCTGAAACTGGATGGTTTTGACATTTGGAAGCTGATAAGGTATGCAACAACTGGTCCAGGATGAATGGGAACAAAAGGTCACTTTTCACCACCCCCCCCCCACCCTCGCCGAAAAAAAAAAATCAAATGAAAAGTAAACCAAGTGAGGCGAGAAAATACAAATGCACTGTTTAATCACTGTGTTTTATGTCTTCCGTAAAAACATCCTCTCGTTTACGACTAAATATTAAATTCATCATCAAAAATGATCAGTCAAAGGCTTGGGTAATAACAGGGCATTGTAAAGAAAGGGAATTAACCCATTTAAAACGGAAAAAGGAAACAAATTTGAGTATTTTTCTTTTTACAATTTGCAGCACGGGTGGGCATGGCGGACAACAGAGAAAGGAACTCTTGCACGAGCTTATCTGGCCCTCCACGTCATCCCGATTAGTTCCCCGAGGCTCCCCTCTTTATAATGGTACATTTGACACCTCACAGAGGGCAGCACTGAGGTGGGGGAAGTGGAAACTGATTACAGGACAAGCAGGTACCGAGACGAGCAAGAGAGAGAGAGAGAGAGAGAGAGAGAGAGAGAGAGAGAGAGAGAGAGAGACTTAACTCGCCAGATAACGTTGCATAATATTTAACTGTTGGTGTTAAAACAACTGCTCAGGATCACGACATTGTCTTTGGTTTAAATTAATTTTGAATGTGAAGGTAGGACAGGGCCCTTAGCTGAGAAAAATGATCGGCTAACTGACATCTTCGTACGACCGAAACAAATTTCTCGGCTCCAAAGTGTCCGGAAAATACAACTAATATTGATTTTTTCACTTTGTTTTTCTGAAATTTCATTTTCACACTAAATTTGTTTCATTTGTACGTTTCTAATCTTATTTAATTCAGCCGCTATTCGGGGTTATGAAGACGGCGCTCCCCTGTTTTTCTCTATACTTGGTCCCGACCCTACAATAGAGGATGTCCCCTTGGATAAGAACGTGTGGCTTTATGACATGAAGAGAGACCCACTGGAGGAATGTGATCTGTCGGACACAAAGCCAAAGATCGTAAAGCGCATGCTGGATCGTCTGGAAGAAATCCGCCAGATGTCCCCACCAACTATTTTTGTAAGTGAAAGAGACCCGGCACTTAACCCGGCCCTCCACGGCGGTGTGTGGGCGCCTAGGGATTAAATGTTATCAGTGTTTTACATAACTTAATGATACGACTCAATGATTATTTCATTCTATAATCTGTTATCTTTAGTGAATAAATCTAAAATACTTATTGCTGATACTCTTATTGTTATTATAAAAGTAATAATAATGATAATAATAAATATCTTTCAAAAAAGCAATTAAAGGATCGAATAACCAAATCGTTACTCAAGTAGAGTAATAATAATAATAATAAAAATAATAATAATAATACCAAAATATTAACTTAAATATAAATGCCCTTAAATATAAATTTGCTTTCAATGATGTGTTGGATTTCGAAAAACCTTAAAACTTACTCCCATGGACACCATCCGTTAACGTAGATTGACCCAACTTTGCGGGTACTCTCGCTTAGTGCAATCAGCTTAAGTGAATGACACGCCTCCTCTTGTTTACGACGTACTTGTATCATGACACGTTTCCGTGTATTGGAAGAGGCGTGGGTGAGGGGGTGAAGCTGGAGAATCACTTCGTCCAGAGTTTCTGTTCTCCAAGTAGAGGCCAGTTACTGACTGGGAGATATGCGGTAAATGTTGTGTGTGTGTGTGTGTGTGTGTGTGTGTGTGCATGTGTACGTGCGTAATGGAGCAGAACTTGCCCATGATTAATGTGCATTTAACTTAGACTGTCGCGTAAACATTGAAAAAAAGTTAATACAAAAAGTAAATGGACTTAGTTCTCAAATGGGTTACTTGGTGCTTGCAAACAATCAATATGATACACACACAGAGATAAAACTGACACCCCTAGGCTAAGACCTATTTTTATACACCCGATGCAAAATCATTCGCCCTTTTTTATATTCAGTTGAGTTTTCTTTAAATCCCATTTAGCCAAGCCTTTAACCTGACAGAGGTTACCTTATTATGAATTATTTATTTTGTCTACATGCATTATTTATATTTCTATATGAGTGCCCTCATAGTGTTACGTAATGCAGATGAGTGTTATTCATTCTCCTGGTGACAGGCAGCAAATTAAGGTGGATCACCTCAACAAGACTTCAGTAAATACGTGTGTATAAGTGATCGAAGAAACAGTAACTGAACCTTTAACGTCAAGTGAGTAGTGTATGCAGACAATACAATATTTTAACTGCAGTTTCCATATACTTTATAGTTACATTGAAAAAAATAGGTATACATAAGTTTCATTTCTGATTTGGCCGGATTAAGCCAGTTTAGCCAAAATAAATCTTATTTTATAACAGGAAAAGTCACGAGTATTGCTTCATATACGTACCGTACCTAGAACCTACAGTAATAGTTCAGGATTTTTTTTTTTTTGTCAGTCTTGCTTTTTTTTTTATTTAAAATTTATTTCTTCCTAGATTCATCTCAGAGAATTGTTCTGGCCTCGGCTATCCAAGGATCCTGTCATAAATCAACCACATAATCATTTGAAATATGTAATCGGCAAAAATTGTTTG